GTTTTTTCCTCTCTGTGGGGAAAAAGTGCCTAAAATACATGAAATTAGAGCAGCATCAGCTCTGTCTGGTGATGTGAAGAGAAATCCCCTCCTGCCGATTGGCTTTATCCTGTATATTGAAGAGGAATGAGCATAAGAAAATGACAAACGAATTAAGCTGTGGGTCAGTTATCGGAAAGCTTATCCTGTCTGACACGTGTGAACACTTTTCTGCCTCCTTCTGCTAGTTTTTCCACCTGCCACGGGGCTGGAGACAGTACCTTACTTGAAATGACCTCCAGACAAACTTTGCACTCCCAGGTCCCCGTTCCCCGGAGATGGGCCTTGCAAAGGCTGCGAAGCAGCCCGGAGGGGAGAGGGCAGGCCGCCCGGGCACAGCCCAAAGGGTACATCAGTACTGGCAGTACCGTGGTTGACGTTTAGCAGCCTTGGCTTTTCTGAACATCCCCTTCAGCAGCCATGTGCAAAGTGCTGCCCAGTCCTGGTAGCACCTTTGGGAAGCACCTACTCTTACCTGTTCTGGAGAGGGAACCTGTCAGCAAAGGAGACCTGCAAAGGACAAGATTTTTTTGGCCTTTGCGTGCCTCCGGTCAGTTCACAAGATGCGGTTAGCTGTTTGTTTTTTCCCTGCCTTACTTGCCCCATCGTGATCCTGTGCTAGAAAATCCAAGTGGATGTATTCCAGCAGGGCAGGGTGGCTGGGATGGGTGAGGAGGGGGTCCTGCAAGCTGGCAGCACTGGGTCTGCCTCCAGTTCAGTGCCTTCCACTCACTCACTGCTTGGCATGGGCCACTATTATTATTAATATTATTATTAACCAGTTTGTGTTCTTTCTGCCCACAGTAACGTTTGCAGCGATGGACCCTCTGGCTACCAGCCTGTGCCATGTGCAAGACATGCTGAAGCAACCTTATTTTCAGGAAGGGTGAAGTTCAGGGTTAAGTTCACAGGCAGCCATGAATCTTGGCATCCAAAACCACTTCGGATAAGTCAGCCAGAGTACAAGGCCAGCTTTTGAACGCCAGACTCGGCTTTTTTTCCTCTCAGAATTCAACTGGGCACTGACATTTATCTGATTGAAGGATCAGGAGGCACTTTGGAGCGGGGAAAGAAAACAGCATCAGTAATGCAGAGAGGCTCAGGCAACTCGGGGAGGGGGTAGCAAGTGACAGCCTTCTGGGTAGCAACTAACAACCTTCTGGGTCACCGCTCTGGCTGCTGAGCACGGCAGCCGGGGCTGCTGGAGACAGACTGATGATCTGGTTGTGCTCCCCTTTACAGGCTCCGTCACCAACTGGATTTACAGAGCGGTGAATGAGTCGGCTCTGCTCAGCATCACTGCTGCTTCTGTGAACGTATATCATGCCACGTGGCTGAAAGGCAGAGAAAGGTTGCTCCAGATAAAAGATAAGAAAGTGAAGTACTATGTGAACAAAGACCAGTGCAGATGTAAGATACTCCTAAACGGGACTCTGCAAATAGAGAAGGTGGTGAAAGAGGACAGTGGAAAGTACACGGTGACAGTTTATCAGCAGGATGGAAGATTGAAGGCAGAAGAAGATACAATGCTCATCGTACAGGGTGAGTTTTTGGTCTTCCCATGCCATTCCCAGCATAGCTGAACAAGACTTGGTATTCCTGCTCTCTCCTACAAAGTTTTCTACTCGTTGCCCCCCTTTCTGTTTTGGGGGGACTTCCATGAGGCGTACCTCTTTCCTCCTGCCACTGACAGCAGTCTGCTGCTCTTCTCCCTTCTCCACGACCGTGCTGGCAGCAGGGTGAGCGCGGACGGCCCTGCTGCGGCATGGCACATGGTGCCGGGACCTCTCGGTCCCTGAGCCGGGGCAGCACCACGAGAGTGGGGTCTGCTCCCAGCAGCACCCTGCTTCCAGAAGCCTCTTGTGGGAGCGCAGCAACCTGCGTGAGACACGCCTGTGGCTGATGCGCTGTGCACTGCTGGCACGTCTGGTGCTGCTTTATGGGCACCGAGTGACAATTTTTGGTCTCTAGCTACTGCTCCAGCAAGGTGAGCACCTTGTGTTGCATCTGCCAGCCTCCTGAGGAGAGCTCAGGAGCCCAGGTGGCACTAAATACCAATATTTAGGCACTGTGATCCCACTCCATTTTTACTCTAACATAAAAAGTAGCCATCAGTCACCTCCCCTGAGATACACCACAAAAGGAGTTGAATTTGCAGATGAAGAAAACCTCTGTGCCCTATCCTTGCATAGCATAACACAACAAATATGAAGACTGTGCTGTTCAAGGCACACCTAAGCACACGCCTGGGGATTTCAGCTGCATGAGTTCAAAGCATGAAGACAGCCTCCATTCCTGTGCTGCATCTTGTCCTGAGAGATCGGGGCAGTAGCAGCCCAAAGCTTTTGGGATGAGTAGGAAAGACGAGGATTTTGCTCCTTTACAGCTGCTGCCACCTCTGCAGACCTCTAAGCTGTAGGGCAGCATGGGGTTTTTTTTCCCAGCAAGAGGGGGATTTTGTTCTACCCTGCTTCAGCTAGCAGGCACACCTCTGCCAGCCTCTTGAGTTCGTGGGCACCAGCTGGCACTACAGAAATGATACCTTGATGAGGCAGCAATGACAGCTGGGATGGTTTTAACAGGGTTTCTGCGCAGTGGGAGGCCCCGTGGCTAATGGACTGCTGAGCAGTGAGGGTGTCTTCAGGAGTTATTACTGCAAACTGTCTAGAGATTCAGGAAGTCACCAGGGTCTGAAGCTATTTACTCATGCTTTAAGCCACTGAGCTGTCATTGAGGTGGCCTGGGTTCAATTTCAGGTTAAGGTTCCAACCTAGTTATGTGTGCTGCATCATTTCATCTGATATACAGCAGAGAGGTCGCCTTACCTCCAATACACGGTTTTGGAAGTAAGGTCCTTTAGTAACTGTTGGGTGCTACAGTAGTTTGTCAGCCAGAGTATACTTTGTTACTAGGGCTGGACAAACAGCTGTTTCCAAAAAAAAAAAAAATAGTTTAGATGATACCATAACACAACTCCATCACTGGGACCTGGATTCCAGTGTTCCACACTGGGATGTTCCCCTGAATGATAGATTGCACCTTGCAGCAGAGGAGTGGGCTTAATGAGGAAAGGGTGGCTTCAGATGTCACAGCATGAACCTAGACTGCATTTGCTACGAGCAATTCTTACTGACTTTTCATGATCTCTGTAACTTACGCTGCCTATAACTAGAGGTGGGACTGGCATGATTTTGTTTACCTGATCTAAAAGGTAGAAATTAAGTTTTTTCCATCTGATGTCCCTGCCAGTTGCTGCTAGTTGAGGAAAGCCCCGCAGGCTTTTCTGGCTCTTTCAGCACCAGCAGTGATAGACAATCTGGAACCAAAGTGTAGCTAGCTGTTTGCAGGACATAAAAAGAGACGGAAATCAGTTCTCTTTGTCATAACCTCCTTGAGGGTGAAGAGGTGTCTGTTTTGTGTTATCTGTTCTGTTTTGATGGGTTTTCATGCTGTGGCTGTCATGCTAGCTGAGTGCCTTTCATAGTACATAAACCATCATAAGTATCTGTTTGTTCTGCCTTAGAGGAGGTCTCTCCTGATGGGCACAGGCAGATCAGAGCCGACTTCATTCGCACCAAAACACTGGGGCTGGAGATGGAGGGGGCTGTGGCTCCCAGTCCCTCCCATCTGCCGCCTCCCCCAAAACCAGAACTTCCTCCCCTCGCCTGCCCGGCCGGCTGGCTGCGAGCCAGGCTGAGCCTGAAAGCAGTCCAGCCGTTCTGGTGCAGCTCTGCTTTCCTAGGCCAGATATGTAGGCTAATATACTGCATTTTCTTTATTATTGCCATGTTAGTTCTGCAATAGAGGTCTAATTTGTCTTCGTTCTTCTCTGGTCTCATTAGCTGCTGTTACTCCTTTACTGCTGATTGGGGGCTAGTCCTCTGTTCTGCTTAATAATGGGGTTTTTCTAAAGGTGAAACCATCTCAGACGTGCCTGTCCCTTTTCTTCTTTTTCAGAGCCTGTCCCTCAGCCAGTCCTCAGTGTCGAATGTGTGAATAAAACTGTATTTGTCAAGTGTGAAGTGAAGCAGAAGACTAAAGATGAAACATTTATAATGGAACTGACTCAACATAAAAGCAAAAAAATCCAAAAGAATGCAACAAGTTTGGAATTGTACACGCGGTATTCTGGGACATTCAGATGTGTTGTTAAGAACCAAGTCAGCGAAAAAATGGCTGAAAAAGTAATGAAGTGCTCAGGTAAAAAAAAAAAAATCTAATTTTGCCAGAATCTGCTAGGGCGGATCCATAAAGCCTGATGCAGTTGCGCTTGTCTGTAGAACGGGTCCAGGTGCCAGGAGTGTCGATGGTTTCCAGTGCCCAGTGTTGTGAGTCTAATGCTGACACAGTTACTGGGAGTTGATGCTGCTGTGGTACCCAGGACGCGAGCTGTCCTTTCTGCTTGGCATTCCCCAGCCTTGTTGCATCTCCACCCTGCTGCTGCCTGCCCCACTGCTACCCTTACGGCATCCCTGCTCTAACAGCAGGTGTGAGGTGGGCCATGCTCCTCCTCTTCTCCTGTGGCCAGTGGTGTCTTCCTCCATGCTCAGTGAGGCCTGGGGGTTGCTGGAAGAGAGGGAGAGGTTTCCCTAGAGTCAAGTGCCTTGCGGGTGGCAGGGAGGCCCCCAGGTCCCACTGCAATGTTGCTTTCACCAGGGCTGAAGTCTCCTGGGGGAAAATGAGGGCTGCCAGCGAGATCAGGCTGGCTGAAGGGTAAATGAATGAAAGAGAGAGATTCTTGCTCATCTCGTCTTTTTCTCCCTCTTCTCCATCACTGCTGACTCTTCTTCCAAAAGTTGTCAAGGTATCCTAATAGACTCAAATGGTGTCAACCATCACTGTCGTAGAACAATGAAGCAAAGGAGAAAGTGGCAAGGTGGGCCTGAAAGTGTTTTAATCGCATACAGCAGAAAGGACTTTCCCCCCTCATTCTTGTCCTCCTTTATTCCTTTAAAACTAATGGTACTTCCCAAAGGTTTACTTCAGTCAACCAGTCCAAAGCTTAAGAGTTGACTTCAGTAAGTTAGTCTACAACTACCCAAGCTGCCATGACATAAATTAACAGCTTATTTTTGGAAAATATGTCCTGGAACCTTTATCCTATGCATATGAAACCATGGCACTGATTTCAAGGCATTTGCTCTTGATTTACATCGTCACGGTGGGGAAATAACTTGCACATTATTTTTCTCCTCTCCATAATCATAACTATGAAGCGCGTGGTTGCCTGCTACCTGTGAATGTGAATGGGTGCTTTCACAAGGAGAAAAGCAAGCTGCTTGGACTCTCCAGCTTGGCCTAGAAATCAGGAGGGAGGCTGTGGACACATTAGCTGAGCTTTGGGGCTGCATGGCTCAGATGAGCATGGCTCAAATGTACAATGGATTTTCTTGCTCACTTGAAAGGTCATCTTTCTAAACCACAAGATGCAGCAAAAGAACTGAAGGAATTGCTTCTTAAGTGGGCAGAGTCATGCTGAAAATGATTAGACAGGCAAAGGAAGTCATCGCTCTACCCCCATAAAAGTTTTGCCAGTTAAGGCAAAACAAAGGGACACATCATACTGGTATGACACTGGGTGTGATGTTCAGTTCAATGTTTAGATTTCCAGTGCAGTACTGGGGAAGAGTCATTGAATTTTCTGGGCTTGGGTTCATCCCACCTACCTGCGAGCACTTCACTTAAAGCACTTGCTTGCTCTAGACTCCTGCTAGAGCTAGTGGAGTGTGGGGAGCTCATGAGAGCTAGCTCAGTATTTCCAATTTCCAGCTATTTCTGACATAGTGAATTTAAGGAAAAGTCCAGGTCTCAAGGCTAGCCCACAGTGTGAGAATGGATGGAGCAAGTCTTCAGGTCTAGAGGCCTTACTGAAGTGATCCAAGGTCTGCTGTGGCTGACTGAAGGGCAAAGAGCCAAGGTATAGGGCAGCCCCTGCTCTCTCACACAGCTCTTGCCCCCTGAAGGATCCCACTGATGCCTAACATAGCCAAAAAAGGGTTGTTTTCTGCTGCATGAGCTGCCTGACCTGATGGGCTGCACAGCCCCGTTAGTACTAGCATTGGGAAGGGGCTGGGGCATGGGATGCGGCATGGACTTTGGAGCCAAGTGTGAAAACATGCTGCTGGATTAGGTCTGCTTAAGGCAGGGTCAACTAGCCCAAACACGTTGTCTTAGTGAGGAAATGCTGGCTGACGCTGGCTGTCCCAGGGCACGAGGGAGGCAGGCGTGGACCTGCCTGTGCTGCTGGTACAGGCAGGCATTAACCATCAGCTGGATACTTTGATTTCGCTTCTTCTTACCCTTGAAAAATGCTCTTCTTTCACAAGGTGAGTTAGGTGGGAGAATTTTTTTTTTTCTCAAATCATGAACAGAAGAATAAAAAGTTTGCTAGGCTGGTCTTTAAGGTACAAATATAGCATTTCTCAGACACCATAAAACCACTAAACCCATGCAGCACTGCCCTTCCTACTCAGACTAAAAACCCCTCTGACCTTTCTGTGTGGTGGCAAGACTCTGCCAGCTCCACCGTAGATAAAAAATCCCTCAGCTCGCAGTCAAACCTCCTTCCAACCCTGCTGCCCTCCATGAACACCTGGTCCTGCATTCCAGGCCTATCACCTTGACTTTTGACCTTTAGCAGGCAACGCATGCTTCAGATGGGCTTCTGCTCAGCTAACTGTTCATACAAGCCTAACTGCACATAAATCTGCCTGAGCTCACCTGATAGTTAGCTGAGAGAAACAGGCACAGAAAGGGTGAAATACACCTCAGTGAAACACTGGCAGCTAAAGCAGATGAGAAGAACCCCAACACTGAGAGTACTCATCTTTTTTTCCGCTGGGACAGCCCAGGCTGATAGTGGCCTTCATACTGTAGACATCTCGTCTTTGGTGTCATCACTCCTTGCCCTCCATGTGCATGCTCTGCGACTGTTAAGAGTGGTACTAGTGGTGTCATCTCCTTCAGGAGCTTTGTGCGCCAAGGAGCCGAGGAAGGTGCACTTCTGCTGGGTTCAGCTCCACGGCGCCTGTGCTCGAGCATGAACACGGAGTGCCAGGAGGACAGCCGAAGCAGGAGGTGATGAAGGCAGGCTAGTGTTTAACAAACCTTATCTGGCCGAAATAAGAAACACTCATATAAATTTTTGTCCACCCGGCAAACCAAACTCTTGTTTTGAGGCTGTGGGATATTTGGTTATGTCCTTTTCCTTTTCGTGTTTTTTTTTTTCAATTTGTGTACAGCCAAAAATTGAAGAGGAAGTACCAAAATGCTATGAAGCAAGCAAGTCTCAGTGTTTCCAGCTCAGGAGGAAGTACTTAAAAAGTTTACTTTCGTTGGGTGCTGAGCACTGCCTGGATGCTCGTTGTTCTTAAAAGCTCCATTGCTAGCAGGGACACCGCATTTGTGGTTATTTAAATAAGAAGAGCTGGTGCACATGAATGGTCTATTTTCAGTTTTTCTGCAGAACTTGAATCCATCAGGGAGCAATTAGGATTCTCCACAATGAGGACCAGCAACTTTCTGCTGTGTACAGAGAAAAGGCAAAGGGTGGGTTCTCCCCCTGGGACTGCCTTTACAGTCAATGGGAGAAAATAAGGAATTCTAGCTAGATGTCATGCAAGTTATTTCTTTCCCTCTAACATCCTCTTTCGTTCCCTTAACTAGGCCAGCTGGACCTGTATCTCATCTTAAGCGTAGCAGGAGGTGCAATCTTCTTTGTCATCTTCGTGATTTTGCTTATTTATTGTATCAGGAAGAAGAAAGTAGAGAGGCTTGAACATGATGGTAAGTGTTTAAGGCGCTTTATGTTGCTATCCAACCACCTAAAATCTTAGAGCTTCCTG